ACGGCTCAGGATACTTCCTGAAGCAGGAGGGCCTCCCAGGGAAACCAGACACAGCACAGCATCTGGGACGAACTGTGCGGACAGGCTGGGGGGACCGGGCTGGATCCCGCTTACCCCGCAGCACCTGCAGAAAGTGTTACGGCGGCAGTGAGGCCAAGGACGCCTGGAACACGGGGCCATCACATGTCCTGTGGCGTCCGGTTGGCTTGAGCACAACCCTAAGCCAGAAAGAGACAATAGAGGCACGCTAGCTAGGGCTTCATTTTTCTCGTCTGTGACTTTGTATCTGATTTATCTCAAGTCACTGGGCCTCCCTCCCAGGACTGGCACCATCTTGTGACGAGGGATCATGTTTGATGCCCTTACCCATAGCAGGAGGCTGCTGACCCCCCACGTACAACCCAAAGGCCACCGAGGACGGAGGATGATGCACAGGAAGGAAATGGTGTGCAAAGTGGAAGGCCACCAGCGCACAGCCCCCCGCCCAGGCCCCCGAGGTCCCTGCAGCGACCCTGGCGGAGGTCTCGGGGCCACACAGCCCTACCCCAGCTGCAGCAGGGCCTCGAGAGGACAGCATCAGTGTGCGCGTGGGCAGAGGGGAGGCAAATGCCACCTAAACTGTGAATGGAGCCCTTGTGCCCCGAGCAGGCTGGGCTGCTGGGCCTGCTTGCCTGGCCCACGGTCCTTGGTAACCACAGCTCTGAAGCAGGACTTCATGGAGACGGAGAACAGCTGAAGTAATTAACAGTAACGGCAATTAATCTTGAGAAGACGCATCGTAAAGCAGAAGAAACATTCTAGTTCCACAGGTTTGCATATTCATAAAATCTCATTTTTTCTAGTTTCTTCTCAATTACCCCGTCTTCTGTCAAATATTGACATCTGTTAAATCTTTTAAAAACCTATTTCAGATGAAGCAAGGCATGTGCCAAGGAACTGCTGCAGTCGTCTGAATCAGAATCACACACCGGCAGTGACCCGGAGACTGTACTCCCCCCTCCCCTGCCCACGGAAAAGGCACACAGCGCCGGCACACGCTCCTCCAAGTGCACCATCGCGGTGCCAGGGAACCCAAAGCTCAACTCCCGTGTCCACTCATTACCAGCAGTGAACACCACTAACAACATTCCCATGAAATTCTCTTTGAAAGAAAATTTAACAGGGGCGCCTGGGTGGCTCAAGTCAGTTGGGCGGCTGCCTTAGGCTCAAGTCATGACCCCAGGGTCCTGGGATCGAGCCCTGCGTCGGGGTCCCTGCTCGGCAGGGAGTCTCCTTCCCCTCTTCCCATTCCCCCTGCTTGTGTTCCTGCTCTATCTCTGTCTCTGTCAAATAAATAAATAAAAATCTTTAAAAAAAAAAAGAAAAGAAAATTTAACGGAAAACTAGGGGACACATTAAAACTCCGTGAGGACACAGAGAATCGTGCATGTATGTTAGAGCCTTTGTTACAGCACGTTGAAGGCGCCTCTCTCCAGCCGGTCGGCCCCAGACCACGTTGCTCAGACAGCGGACTGCTTCGATTCCACTTCTGACCCTGGTGTGGCCAGTGGGAAGGCACGTGGCTGGTCAATGGAGCTCGCTCTAGTAAGTTAAGGGCCAAGATATTCTCTCTTTAAAAATCCATCCCTAACAAATTTATTCACTGTAAGAGAATCCTGATGAGGGCGCCTGGGTGGCTCAGTCGTTAAGCGTCTGCCTTCGGCTCAGGTCACGGTCTCAGGGTCCTGGGATCGAGCCCCGCGTCGGGCTCCCTGCTCAGCGGGAAGCCTGCTTCTCCCTCTCCCGCTCCCCCTGCTTGTGCTCCCTCTCTCGCTGTCTCTCTGTTAGATAAATAAAATCTTAAAAAAAAAGAATCCTAATGAGCGATCTCAAAAAAAATTCAAAGGCAAATTACTAAGAATTAAATCACATTTCACAGTGGGGAAAGGACAGAATTACCATTCATATGGGAAAATAAAAATTAGACTCCATACTTCACTTGGAAATTGTAGATGGACATTTTAAACATTTTTAGAAGGTAAATAAATAGGGAGAGAAATAACCAAACCAAGAGAAGAAAAAAACCCAGCAGAATGAAGTTCACAGAATCGACTAAGTAAAAACTTGCAGTTTCTGAACCCTTCATCCCAAACAGGTGTTTCTTATCTTCTAGGCCATGTTTTGAATGGCAATAAAAACAACAGCCTTAAAGATCAAAAGAAATGAACGTTTCGTATGTTGAACTCAGAATTTTAAAAACTCCCATTTGTGAACAAAAAGGCTATAAATATTCAAAGTGCAACTAACAAAGAGAATAGGAAGAAAAACGATGAAAATTAAGATACCTGTTAATAGGAAAGTACTAAAAGCTAGTATTTCCAGAAAGAACAGATACAAGGAGAGAAGGAACTCATCACCGAGTGACCGATGCCTCCTGAGCCTCGACGGACAGCCATGCTCCCTGGAAACACAAGGTGCTCAACCGACAAGGAGAAAACGTAAACCAGGGGCGCCTGGGTGGCTCAGTCGTTGAGCGTCTGCCTTCGGCTCAGGTCGTGATCCCAGGGTCCTGGGATCGAGCCCCACATCGGGCTCCCTGCTCCGCGGGAAGCCTGCTTCTCCCTCTCCCACTCCCCCTGCTTGTGTTCTCTCGTGCACGCTGTCTCCGTCAAATATATAAATAAAATCTTTAAAAAAAGAGAGAGAAAACGTAAACCAGGAACAGCAGAAAATTGTGAATGTATCAGTAACTGGAAAACGTACCAAGACTAGAGGACTTCGCAGGCACGGCGCCTCTCCTCGTGGGGGCAAAGCTCACAGAAGGCACCCCAATGGAACAAAGAGCCAGGCTGGACCCTCCTGCACACTCGGGAGCCCCAGGGACTTCAAGTCAGAGAACCCAGCTTCGCCACCCAGCTTTCTCCTTCAACAGAAAGAAAAAGCTGCAGCCAAGCACATAATCCCACAAAGTCAACTCCTAAAACCAGACTACTGAGAACAAGAGGAAAAACCCCTACCATCAGAATTAATGCTTGGGTAAGAAAAAATGGCGGAGGGGGAGGTAGGCGAAAACTAGTAGGGCTTTCTAGCTATAAAAAAGTCGATACTTTTTAAAAGAAAAAGAGTAAGCCAAGGGGCGCCTGGGTGGCTCAGTCGGTTGAGCATCTGACTCTTGGTTTCAGCTCAGGTCACGATCTCAGGGCCCTGGGATCAAGCCCCATGTCAGGCTCCCTGCTCCGCGGGGAGTCCGCTTCTCCCTCTCCCCCGCCCCTCCCTCCTGCTCGTGCTCACTCACTCTCTGCACCTCCCCTCTCTCTCAAATAAATAAAATCCTCTTAAAAAATTCTCTCCCTCTTCCTCTGCCCTTCCCCCGCCTCTAAAAAAATAAAAACAGAGTAAGCCAAAAGTACAGTGAAGCGACTGGATAAAAAGGAATATAAAAACTTACTTTCTCACTCAGGTATACACAACAGCCAGTTAGTAAAGGAAATCAGGTAAGGGTGGGTACCTGCAGCCGACTGTGCCTTTCATTTCGAAGCATTAGGAGCACCCAAGACAGATTTTGAGAACAAGCTGCCCTTCCTGGCAACCACTACAACCGACACAGGGTGATCCCGGCATAAAGCAAGACCAAAAGAACAAAAGGAGAGCGGAGTCCTAAAACAGCTGTATGTCTAACGCAAATGTACAAAAGGAACATGGAAAGGCATGTGGGAGAAAGATGTTTTCAGCACAAATATTCCACGTACATTAAAGAAGCAAAGAGACAAATACGTGTCAACATACAAGAAAATGAGAGAAAACCTGGTTGTGGAAGACGTAGGATATTAAACCAAAGGTCAAACAAAGCCACTTTTCTGGAGAAGATATTAAGACGACCACACAGTAAGTCCAATGAACAGATGACCCCTGCAAAGAGCCATCTCCTCCAGAGCAGGCGAAGCACTAAGACCCCGCCGGGCCAGGAACCGACGGAACCCCGGAACTGGGAGAAACACGTTATGCTGCAGCTAACCCCGACAAACAAGATGCTCCACCCAATTAATTAACCAAAGAAATGTCCAGTTTAGAAATCACCGGGTCTTTACAAGTTATGTGAGGAATCCATTGTTGACAGGAAAGTATTCTTTGTGGAAAGTGATGTCAAGTTTCATGCACACGTGTCAACCCAACTACTCAACTTCTAGGAACCTAATTTGATGTAACTACTCCCACAAGAACAGACTGGGGGTAAAAGCTGCAAACCACTCTGCCCGGGTGCACAAGGGAATCAGGCCAAGGCCACAAGGCACAAAGGGCGGGCGAGCACACGCCACATACCGGGCCAGCCGGCCCTGCCGGGCACTCTGGAACCACCTGGGAATCCAATCCCTGCTTGGCAGATGACTGGCAACAACTCACAGGACTCTGCGGGAACTCTTCCTCATGCCTTCTGGACAGTCCTTCATGCTTTCCCAACACCCCTGAACACATTATCACAGCTCAACAAACTCTGCATGGACCCCTCAAATGGTTCACGAATGAAGGAAAGACAAGGAGAGATGGTAGACAGGACACATGGAGCCCACCGCTCATTCTCTTCCTTCCAGCTCTGGATTTCAGGTTAGTGCCCTGGCATCCTACCAAGCAACCTCAAAGTCTCAGATAAGAGGTTATCTGCTCAGGCTCAGGGTTGATTAGCAGCAATGTTCCTAACATTAGGGGCGGGCAGACTGGCCAGGAAGCCTGGCTTCAACGGGGCCCTTGGCACATCCTCCCTGCCACATCAATGCCAAAGAGGGTCAGCTGACCAAGGGAGCAGCTAAGGAGAAGACAACTGAACATCTTTGTTCTGGTGGTCCAGTTTTCTCCTAGTATCTTTGTTAATGCATGTGTATAAGTATATAGTGCCTATGATACTGTGTATTCATGACATGATGGAACACACCATCAATACTGGGAAATACTGGTACTTAATATCCTCTTAGGGGAAATTTACCTCCTAACGATAGACCGGGAAGTCACTGAAAGAACTGCTCGGGGTGCTCACTTCAGCAGCACACGAACATTGGAAGGATAAAGAGAAGATTAGTATGGCCCCCGCTCAAAGAGGACATGCAAATTCGTGAAGTGTTCCAGAGTCTGACGAACATAGGGGAAGGGAAGGAAAAGACAGACAAAAACAGAGGAGACAAACCGTAAGAGAGTCTTAACTCAGGAACCAACTGAGGGTTGCTGATGGGGAAGGGGGTAGGGGGATGGGGTGGCTGGGTGACGGGCATGAAGCACTGGGTATTACAGAAGACGGATGAATCACTAAATTCCACCCCTGAAACCGTGGGGCGCCTGGGTGGCTCAGTTGTTAAGGGTCTGCCTTCGGCTCAGGTCATGGTCCCAGGGTCCTGGGACTGAGCCCCGCACCGGGCTCCCTGCTCCGCGGGAAGCCTGCTTCTCCCTCCCCACTCCCCCTGCTTGTGTTCCCTCTCTCACTGTGTCTCTGTCAAATAAAACACAAAAACACACACAAAAAAGGAAAAACTGTTTAGGAAAGAAATATAACCACATGACTTGGCACATACATTAAGAATTACACAAACAGGAATGTTGGTGTACTAATACTCAAAACAATCTAACTCTATTATGAAAGAAACAAAATGCAGGCAATGCCTGAGAAACAAGCCTCCCACAGGCTTCAGACTCCACACCACTGCATTTCACCACAGGCGTGTGCAGGGGTGGAGGGACAGCGCCAGGAGCCACACTTTTGCTCAGGCCACCATTCCCACCAGTGTGTCAGGCTGCATCTGGGAAAGACTGAAGTTTAACCAACACGCTACGACCCACCCACCCCCACTGTACCAGCTTGTGCACTCAGTCCGCGCACAGGGCAGGTCACCCCACAGTAAGGTGGTTTTCCCAAAGCACCAGGAGAAAGGAGCCAATCCGACTTCTCCAACATCATCTCCAGCTCCACGGTCCTTCGGCGAGGCTCCCTGCCACTTGCTAAGAAAGGCCTGCGTTCTCCGTTTATCTCCTACCCACGTGTGGAACGCATTCGGGATCAGGAGGCAGTCCCCAGGGGTGCGGTGAGCGTAGGAGCAGGGTGGGGTGCAGAGAAAGGCATGATGATGAGACACACTTTCCCGACACACATCAATCCCAGGTGTAACAAACTGCCGTTTACAAGACTATGGACATTTACTGGACAGGGGTCCAATGAGCGACGAAATGTTGTAAACCCAGATGCACCCGCAAGCCCTCCCAAGCCACACCTGGTCGTTACTTGGCATGAAGAAGCAGGAGACGATGCTCTCCCAGGTGAACAAGGAGGAATGGAGAGGGACAGTCCCCACCACCCTGGGCTTACTCCTCGAGCACCAGCTCAGTGAGTGGTGCCCCCCAAAGGGCCTCTACTCCTGTGACAGTTGCACCCCAGCACAGGTCCTCTGTTTCCTGAATGCTCGGATACGAGGAAAAGGACCGACAGTCCCCAGTAAATGACGCATCCACCCAGTAGTGAGAGTGCCTGGCAACAAAGGGCCAACAGCGAGCTGATGGGCCTCTTGATGCCCACGTCCAGTTCTCCCTAACAAGTGAGACTCCGAAGTCCCAACGAATCCTGGTCTCTGGAAATCCATGATCTCCGTGACTTCTCCATTTCTGACTGATATGGTTAAGAGCTCTTACAACTTTCCCTCCCTTGACCCTCTCAAATGTCAAGATGTAGGAACTAATATAGCCAAAAGTTATCTGGCCTATCGCAGTCCCAACTGTTAATCATACTAATAACCAAGGTCTACATCTAATTAATGCAACTCACTACAGCTCAGTGAGTACAGAATAGCATTCTCACAGCGGATGAAGCAAGAACAGAAAGTCACCCATATGACCAGATTGGGAGAAATACCTAAAAATCAAAGCGGGTGCGGGCGCCTGGGTGGCTCAGTTGGTTAAGCGACTGCCTTCAGCTCAGGTCATGATCCTGGAGTCCCGGGATCGAGTCCCACATCAGGCTCCCTGCTCAGCGGGGAGTCTGCCTCTCCCTCTGACCCTCTTCCCTCTCGTGCTATCTCTCATTCTAATAAAATCTTTAAAAAAAAAAAAAAAAATCAAAGCGGGTGCATTTTATGCTGTACGGACACAGGATATGCAGATGGAGAAGAAAAATGGACATCAACGTTTCTTTAAGGACTTGCATCATTTAATCCCCTGATGCACAAGTACTGACCACAAAAACACCTGAGGTGGTATCAGAATTTTTTTTTTTTTAATATAAGCCATTGGGTCATAAAAGTCAACCCCTCTTGACCACACAGTATCAACTGTTCCAACTTACTAAGCAATTTTAGGCTTGAAAACCTCCAGAAACGGTTACTACTACCTCCATCCTGTTACTGAACATGCTGATGGCTTTTGCCACTACTGAAAGGCAACAGCAGAGACAATAAGACCGATTATAAACTACTGTTCGATTCTCTGAAAATAAAATTTCAAACTAATTACGTAGCGCTTCAAAGAAAAATGAGAAGAGCAGTCCCTGAAGAGGGTAGTGATAGCTAGGAGGTAGGTGATCAAGGAGAAATTTTAAACGTTTAGAAGATAATAAACAAATGACAACTGACTAGAAAGATGCCATCTCCTCCCCCCGCCCCCCGCCTCAAGCTTGGCCATTCTGTAAGGAACAGACTTGAGCAGACTAGGTACACGGATTCTAAGAGTAACTTCAGGAAATCTAAAGCTACCTCTACAAGTCTACAATTTGCCCTTGAAAGAACTCCAAAGAAAAAGAGGAAGGACAAATCGGTATTCGTGCAGCCACGAACATCGTCGTCTTCATTATAAAGCTACCGAGTTTCCAAACTCGCATCTGGATCCTCTGGAGCTGTAAAGGAAGCACAATCCATTGGAACTCAATGAGACCAACTGAGGGACCACAGGGATGCAGGGAAAGGAGCAGCCTGACATCCCAAGCGTGTGCTGTCCCGTCTTCTTCAAGGACTGTTAAGGATTTCTGCCCCTAAACAGAGACATGCAGCACACGGCAGGCAGACAGGACACGCAGTGCGTGACAGACGCTGCACATGGGACACGGGCCCGTCAGGGCAGGCGCCCCGATGCCTGTTTCCACAAGGCATCCGAGCCTACAGAATCACAGAAACGCGTAGGGACCAACAAATGACCAGAGCCTGCAATGTCCGCTACGAGCTCTTCTCGCACGTCATTCCTCGTGGGTGCGATGCTGCCAGTGCTGGGAAGATGCCTCACGGCTCCGGGTAAAAGGGACTCCTCAACACCCCCACCCCCAGAACACATTTGTAAAATGAACATTCCTATCAACAACACAAGTGCAGAACGAAGGCCACGTTCCCCCAATGCCAATGAAGAACACTGGACGGGGATGCTCCCCAAGAAATTTCAGCAGAAAGACTCTCTGAAGTCAGAAACCTCCGCCTCTACCCTGCATTGTAAAGGAAGAGTTTACAGCGGGATGTGGACACACGCCCCCCAGAAGGATCCCAAACGGGAGACCCCAGGTCTAGTGCCATGCCTCCCGGGAAGCTCTAACTACGGGAGTAGACAGGACCTCTTGCCCCCCTACGGGAGCATCAACCTGCTCTATCGGGAGATTCGTCCCGCACCTTTAATGACAACTGTAAATTCTACGTCTGTTCAGTTCCAGGTTATCAACTGCAGTTTCTCAATGACAGAGAAATCATCTATCCCAACAACCTAAATGAAAGTGGGCTTTCTAGTGTAAGAATTCTGGTTTGTGAACCTACAACAGGCCTCTCTTCTCCACAGGTCTGAAGGGCTAGGACAGTACATTTCACAGCTTCCCTTAGTTCAACTGTCTTCAAGAACTTGTTTTTACAGTTTCTATGAAATTTTCTACAGTATTGTTTCCAACAAAAACATTTGATTCTGTAAAGACTCTAGAATTTCCACATGCCTTCCAATTGGGCCTGCACAGACAGAAATTTGTCTGTCATGAAGGAACCACCCTAGGTCCTCCTGTCTTTCTGGCAGGACCCTATGCTTACCCAAAACAAAGCTGAGTGGGGTTGTTCAAACGCAAGCCACATCCAGTTTAACATCCCTCTGGCTGGAATTCTAGTCACTGGTGACTGGATCTTCGACGTGATTTTACACGTCGAAAAACAAAAAAGAGCTTTATTTTTGTTCACATCTATGTCACCCCATGACTTTACCATGCATATCACGTCTTTAAATGAGCCGGCATCAAGGGGCGCCTGGGTGGCTCAGTCGTTAAGCGTCTGCCTTCAGCTCAGGTCATGATCCCAGGGTCCTGGGATCGAGCCCCACAGCGGGCTCCCTGCTCCGCGGGAAGCCTGCTTCTCCCTCTCCCACTCCCCCTGCTTGTGTTCCCTCTCTCGCTGTGTCTGTCAAATAAATAAATAAAATCTTTAAATAAATAAAAAAATAAATGAGCCAGGATCAAACGTACCCTAGAAAACTAGAACCTATTTGTAAAGAATGAGACAGTCGTATAGCTATTTCTTCCTTCCTCATAAAAATGTTACCATAGGAGAAGCTTCAATAAATTGCTCATTATGTAACACAAATAGGAAAATAAACACCAACCCTCCAAATATACTGAGAAAAAGGAGTACAGGTCACTCAATATCGGCGTCCACCCTGAGGAACAGAACTCAACAAGAATGAAGGGACATTGGAAGCCCAGGCACAAAATCATACACAGACACAAGAAGGCTACAGGCCCCACTCAGGAAAGAATGCACCAAACACATTCGCATTTATTTTTTTTTTTTTAAGCAAATGACAAAGACCCAGTTTACCAGCTTTACTTTTTTAAACCTAAGCTTAACATTACATATTTAAACAATTGTCAAATCTTACTAAGTTGCCAGCATTCATGCACTAGAAAAACATCCTCAATTTATTATTAAACGAGAAATGTATTACCATTAATGCATTAATATCTCTCACTACTAAATACTGAAAAAACTTGAAATTATTTTTGTGGAAGATTCATCCTGGCAATGTTAACTTCACAGCAGGCTGACTCTACTTGGCTCACGTTTCAAACACAATGGAAAAGCAGGTCCGTGCTGGTGTTAGTGTACGAAAGAGTCACGGCCACCTTGGATTACGTTTAATAAAAAAGCAAAGTGCATACAGAGATTTACAACAATTTTAAGGACAAAAAACAAAAACAAAACAAAACAAAACAAAAACAAACAAAAAAAAAAACACCCCAAACAATGGTCCTATTATGTGGTCCCAACAATAAACTCAAAAGTCTATGACAAATAGGGCTCCGATGAGCTGTGTATAAATACTTTAGATTAGGTACAGTTATACTGAAAGTTGAGTTCGTTTGAAATCTTCAAAAAAAAAAGCGTTCCTGTCAGTCCTCAACGGTGCCCGTTACAGCTAACACGCCTGCCACACGCGTGCGTTGTTACTTGTTATCCAAGCGCAGCAGCTGCTCCTTACCATTTATCGTTAAGGACTTTAACTGGCCATTCTCTTCCACTTCCACTCTTTCTTCACCATTCTCCACAATTCTGAAAGATAAAATGCATTTCAAACCTTTTTTTAAAGTCAATACATGTGAATGTACCTGCCTATTTTAAAAAAGCGTAATTCCCACTCGCATATATGAAATCACTAACCTTGAGGGCTAAAAACACAGGTGAAAGCAACCTGACAATTCTTTAACATGTTTCTTCTGACAGATAAAAGCGGCGTCTCCAACACTGCACAGCTGAACACTGCATAGGTGAAAACCTGTTTACGGGTTTTATCGTTCTAGCAGCGTTCACCAAAGTTACTGCGCGTTACTACGTTATTATACATTTCAAGTGGGGCTCTACATAAAGATTACTTCTACTATGAAAAGTATTAAGCAGCAGTTCAAAAGGGAAAGCTCTAATTCAGACATTAAAAGATCCCACCGCTGCCAGGTTTAACATACAACCTATACATTACACTCGGAGTGTGTGTGCGCGTGTGCACGCTCGCACCCACAAAGGACACGTGGCACCCATGAAACAGTACACCTGCTGACTTAAAAAGTATAAATAACCACCGTACCTCTTTGTAGTGATTTTTCTGCCATTAACCATTTTAGTAGAAGTCGATATAGATTTGAAGCTGCCCATCCCACTACCACCAAATGCCGTGGAAGAGAACGAAGTTAGGCCCCCATGACCTGGTGACGGGAAGGAAGTAAATCCTGTGGGAAAACAGGAAGATTAGGGAGCAATGCGTCAGTACTAATGTAACCCAAGTATGAGTAACAGGAAAACCACAAAGGAACGGATCAAACCAGGAGAGCGGTGCCTGAGCAGAGCGGCCCTGGCACCACGAGGAGGAGGAAGGAGGGCGCGTGCTCCCCCGGAGGCTGGGGAGGAGGGCCCCCACTCCTTGCACCCTATTCCCCGCCCGGGCCCGGCGCTCTGCTGAGCCCGCTGGCAGGCAGCTCACCCTGCAACAAGGGGCCGGCCGGGCCCGCGCGCCACAGAGGAGCGGGACGGCAACAGGCATTGCCACACGGCAAGAGCGGAACGCTCAGCACAGAATGCCGAACCCAACCGCTTACCGCCTCCTTGCAACGCGGCCACGGAGGGTGAAACTCTACTAAAAGGCTCAAGTAATTTTTGGAAAGAATACTGCAAATACTGAGGAAGTATGGACCTGCCTAATTCACTTGTGGAGAACATTCTCAATTATGGCAAGCACACCACCGATGCGAAAATCCCTGATTTCCACAAGTTACACAAAAGCAAACCAGTTCTTTGATACTGGGACTGGTTTTGCTTGTTTCAAAAGCTTATTACTACTTGTCCCACTTTGAAAATATTCCCATTAGAACAAATCCCCATACGCCCTAACCATGACTTTTTACAAGGCTCCTAGAAGTAAGGTCTGCATCCACACCCCCCTCCTAACACATTAGCCACACATTTCTTAAACGAGGTACTACTTTGTTGATGTATTAAATCAGCTTTGACTCTCCCTTAAGCCTGAGCAGTTCTCCTGCAGCACACTGTGCAGTCCCTAACGACAGGGGCTGCCGTACACAGGCCGTCTGCAGCCAAGGCTCAGCGAACCCGCCACTTCCCTCCACGGTGTAGCACAGCACTCAAAGGGAAGAACGCGGAGCTGTATGCTGCAGGCAGCCTTCATAACAAGAACTGCCAATTCCTACCATGTAGCATTTGAAATAATCAGAGAATCAGAAAAAAACAAGAGCTCCTCTGTTAAGAGGAACTATATGAACTTCCAAGAAGAGATCCTAACTCTTCAGGTAAAATATATAATTATATCATGCCACATGCATAATACTCTGGCTAATTAACTCTTTTTTTTTTTTTTTTTAAATTTTTTTTTTAAATGTAATCTCTACACCCAACATGGGACTCAAACTCAACAACCAGAGGATCAGGAGTCACATACTCCACCGACTGAGTCAGCCGGGCGCCCCAGATGAGCTGCTTTTAAACAGCCCACTGGATGCTATGGGGCAGGGCAGTCACAGACGATCACACCCGCCTCGTGCACTCTGTGTGGCCACGGGCACTCACACACGGTGTTCCACCCCACCTTCTGATCCCATCAACCTGGACCCTCCTAGAATACTATTTACTGTTTTTTTAAAGCTGCCAAGGAGGTCTGACAAAAAAGGACTCAGAGAGATCATCCACAAGTGGGTTTTTTCACAATTATTTACCCCAAATCAAGTAACTCCTTTTAACCAGGAATTTCATTAATGTTCACCTTTAATAGTAAGATTAGAGGGGCACCTGGGTGGCTCAGTCGCTCAGGTTGAGCGACTGCCTTCGGCTCAGGTCATGATCCCAGAGTCCTGGGATCGAGTCCCACATCGGGCTCCCTGCTTCTCCCTCTGCCCCTCTTCCCTCTCGTGCTCTCATTCTCTCTCAAATAAATAAATAAAATAAAATAAAAATAAACTACCGAAATTCTTCTGAGCCATTAAAAAAAAAAAGTAAGATTAGAAATGGGTTTTCAGGGTGCCTGGGTGGCTCAGATGGTTAGGCATCTGCCTTCGGCTCAGGTCATGATCCCAGGGTCCTGGGATTGAGTCCCGCATCGAGCTCCCTGCTCCTTGGGAGCCTGCTTCTCCCTCTGCTTCTCTCTCTCTCTCTCCGTCTCTCATGAATAAATAAACAGAATCTTTAAAAAAAAAAAAAAAGAAAGAAAGAAAGAAATGGGTTTTCGAAGAAAATATTCTTGGGAAGATTAGGAGGGAAAATATAGGTTACCAAGTACAGATTTTCTACACATGAAAACTACTGGCAAATCTACAAACTATTCTAACCCCAAAGAATATACACTCTTCAAACTGCTCACTGAAACTGTTAATCAGCACTGATGTCTGTTCACAGATTGGACATGAAATCGAAGGATTTAATACCTGTATCGAAAGAAGAAAACCCTCCTCCAAAAGACGGAAATCCACTGAAGGCAGAGAAAAACGACCCTGTGCCTCGGTTCCTGCTTCCACGGGGGCCTCTTCGACTCCCAAAAAAGTCCTCAAATGGGTCTTCTAAAAACAAACAGATGTAGTTTGTAAAGTCTTTATTCAAGCTTATTCTTTTCATGGGAGAGCTGCGATAAAGGGAAAATGGGTTAACACCTTGTAACACACTATTCCATCAGAAGACAAAACTTATCAAGAAGTTTTAACAAAGCTTATCTACACAGCAACCAAAGTTCATCTAATGACCAGCAACTTTACTTACTCGTCTAACTACAGCTAGAATACATTAAGGAATAAATAACCAGACTTGACCCAATCACTCTATATAACAAATACAAAATTCGGGGATCACTTATGTGCGCTTCAAACTCAGACAGGGAGCTGGGTTTTTTTTTTTTTCTTTTTGCTGTCAAGATCTTATTTAAATTCAAGTTAGCACATATACAGTGTACTATCAGTGTCAGAGGCAAATTCAGTGAATCATCACTTTCGTATAACACCCAGTGCTCATCACACATCCCATGCCCTCCTTAATGCCCAACACCCTGTTACCCCATCCCCCACCCCACCCCCCAGCAACCCTCAGTTTGTTCCCTGGAGTTAAAGAGTCTCATAGGGAGTTCTTTTGAGAGTGTGCCTGCGTGCACTGAGTGGCAGGAGGGGCAGAGGGAGAGGCACACTCCTCGCTGAGCAGGGAGGCCGGCATCAGGACCGGAGCCGATGGCAGTCATTTAACTGAGCCACCCAGGCGCTCTTAGGGAGCTGTTTTAATATGGCCTCTTGAGTCCAAGTAGCAGGCACTGTCCCTGCTGCCACCACTAGAACGATTAAGGGGACTTCACACTCAGGTAACTGTAATCCAGGGAACCTGGGCTACCTCACCCAACATTAATTAAGAAATAAGAACAAAAATGGATTATTCTAACATTTATTTGCATAACACATAGAGAATGGTGTAACGAGTGAGGCAAAACAGCTGTTGATTCTGGGCCACAGGGTTTAAGAATTCCCTTTACTTTTCTATAAGCAAAAAAAATTTAGAAAGGATTAGTCAAAGTCAAACCTGAATAAATGTTAATTGGCAGACATTAACAACGTGCTCTATTTTAACAGAAAATTACTGATACAGATAGCCACAGTATTCCTATTAGACATACCAAATGCTCCTGAAAATAAAAATAAGATTAGCCCTGATTTTTGTTGGTTATCAGTCAGTGGGGCACTTACTAAAAACATAGGAATTATACAAACTTTTTAAAAAATACACTGCGGTTCTGTGAATTAATCAGTGTTATTTTTTTTTCCAGGAAAATAAAGGAGCTCAAGGAATCTTGATGAACGGTAAGAAAAAAATGCATGACAAGAGAAACAAACTACAGAACCAGGATGGTGTATTCGGTACGACCGGGCAAGAGTGACCAAAGCAGGGGAGTTCACGACACAACTCAAGTGCACAGACACACGTGATCTTCGTGGTGAACTCTGCCATGATCCTCAGAGACACATGGAGGACCCGCGAGTTGAGAGCAGATGGCCAGGCAAGGCTAAGAAGCTCAAATTAGGGCCAAGTAAAGAGCGCAGGCACATTCTTGGCCTCTTTGAGCTGTTCTCAGTGAAAATCAGCTAGTCTCCCTTATCTAATGCTACATGCAGGAAGACGGGCCTGAAGGACACATTGAGAGTCACTGGTTACTGGTGCCCTCCTGAAAGCTCTAGAAAGGACAAGGTGCGAGAGGAAGGAGGAAGGTCTACGTGCAATCCCAGTGCGGAGACATGGCCCCACTGGCCCCCGAGGAGCCAATCCGAGGGTCACAGAGGGTATTGGGTTAGAACTGCTAACTGCTGGCAAGTCAAACCCCAGACTGCTGGCGTTGCAACTTCACGCTGACTTTCCACAGTAAACACTGCCCTTCACAAAATAATTCTTAGGAAAATCATTTATAACCTATTACTTTGTAAATGGGGCTGGGCTTACAGTCCACTGTAACAAAGTATAAATGGAAGTTCATCTTATCTAAAGCTAGTTAACACTTTGTGAACTTCTCCAGAGACTCACCCTATTCAAATAAAACGAGCCTACACACCTGTGACACCGAATTTTGTCAGAGCCACCCTGATGTCCACCACTCACGTGAAGAAACAGAAACATTACAAATGCAATTTAAAATTTACTGTGCAACTTCTGACTCTCCCCTAAGTTATCAAAAAGATTTTACATGGCCTGCTTTACACTTTCAGGAATCCCTAATCCATGTTGTTCTGCACCTGAGACTTCATTTACACTGAATCCTACCGTGTTTGTTCTTCTAACGTGCTTACTAACTTCTTGAGGTTCACACGGCAATCAAATCCTTAGCGCTGTTCACAAGCTTGAGAGCGAGATCCAGGGGCCATATGGTACCACCATCAAATACACAGACTCAAATGCTCACACTCTAGGCTAAATGAAGACTTGCATAATTATACAATTCCATTCTTTAGAAGCTCCTTCGAAAGCTGGTTTAGAAGTAGGAGTAAGGCCAGTGGATTTTCAGTTTATATTTTCTGGTATTTTTCTAAAACCTCCTTTATCTTATTTTTTGCTGTTGATATTGCACAGCCTAAATGCTTTTCTACAATTGGGGTAGTTATTTTACTCACTGAACTTTACATTACATAATTTCAAAATTAAAGTTACAAAAGTTTAACCCTGAAAATGTAAAGTCTCATAAGTTACATCGGTCATGGTGACACAAACACATTGTTTTTAATATCATGCTTATGCTGTTAAAAGCTGCCACTGTAAAATTAGACAAATCTTTATTAAGAGCTTATCACTGGCTATTGCTGGTTTGTACCCTTTCACAAAAAGCAGTTAAGGACTGTGTACCGTGACCTTTCAAAATCCTCATGCCCCAAACTAAGTGCAATCAATTTTTAAAAACTCTTCAACCCAGCATTTCTACTTCAGGGAAATCACTCATCTCAAACATGGAAATACTACACTGCACGAAGAGAATTCAAAGAATTATATACTGAAAATTGAAAATAACCAAACTTTCCAAAAGAGGAGGTAAATAGCATTTTAAATGCACATTTTAAATGAGCATTAAGTTTAGACTTTAGAAAAAGGCAGAAGAGAACATTTAGGTAACACATTACAACAGGTGAAAAATGTTAACAGTGGATTTTTTTTAAGATTTTATCTATTTATTTGACAGAGAGAGACACAGCGAGAGAGGGAACACAAGCAGGGGGAGTGGGAGAGGGAGAAGCAGGCTCTCCGCCGAGCAGGGAGCCCGACGCGGGGCTCGATCCCAGGACCCTGGGACCATGACCTGAGCCGAAGGCAGACGCCCAACGACTGAGCCACCCAGGCGCCCCTAACAGTGGATTTTTAATTGGTAGCAAGACAAATGCTGATTATCCCCTTTATCTCATTTATATTTCCCAAATTCTTGAGTATGCATCATTTTTGAGAATATAAAGGATATTTTATTTGTATTTTAGAAATAAAATTGTAATAAGACAATGTAACATAGCCAAACATGCTACCAAGTACGGTTTTACTTTCAGCCCAGTGGGCATACAAACCACAGCCAGCTGTGTCTGCTCAAGGCTGAGGAAATGGGGAGCGTGCACAGGAGGAACAGACCCCTGAACAATCGGGCTTAGAGGCCCTGACCCCTCACAATCACAAATCTGGGTTTAATTTTTGACTCTCCGAATGCTTAACTGCTCATAGCCTACGGCTGACAGGACGCCTCACCTAGAACACAGGTGATTCACGTATTTTGTATGTTGTAGACATTATATTCTGTATTCCTTCAATAACGTAAGCTAGAGAAAACCAAATGTTAAGAAAATCATAAAACACATTTACAATACTGTAATCCCCCCCCCCAAAAAAACCACCTACAAAGGTGGAGCAGCACAGTATTCAAGGGCCCACTGTACTCCCATCAGCTGCGACCACGCGTGACTCCCTAAGAAGGTGCCCCATGAGGGCCCCCGTATTTTGTTAGAGGTCCGCGAGCGTGTTTTAACACATGAACATCTTGCTCTCCGCCTCTCCGACCCCCTTACCATGTAGCCTGAGACACACACTTTTTATCACAGAATTTCAGGACTTCGCCTCCCCATCAAGGAGAAACGTTAGTGCATTTTCGGGCATACACAGGATGCTATTCTCACGTCAGGGAAGATGATGACTGCGCGATTATCTTTATTTGGAGATTAAGTGTAGTAACTTCAGGAGAGTGTGGGTATCCAAGTGACAGAGGGTGGGCCTGTGCTGGTGAATTTCACATGGCAACTTCAAGGGGCCCCAGGGTGCTCAGGTATTTGGTCAATTACTATTCTGGGTGTGTCTCTGAGGGTGTTTTGGATGAGATTAACATTTAGATCAGTAGCCTGAGTGGCTGGCCTCATCCAATCCGTCCGAAGGGCTGAAGAGAACAAAGACCACCCTCCCCCAAGTAAGAGAATTCTCCAGCCTGATGGGTATTCAACTGGAACACTGGCTCTTCCAGCCTGACGGCCTTTGGACTCCAATCCAGACAGCAGCTCTGCAAATTTTGAACTTGTCAGTCTCCATAATCGACTGAGCCAACTCCTTATAGTGAACTTCCTCAGATATGGATATATAATCAGAAACAGAAATATGTAAATGTAGACCGCGTTGCTTCTCTCTGGAGAAATGGAGTACAGATTTCAAAAAATAAAACCAGTATTCTCTATCATTTATTTTACAAGGATGTTTAGGCAGAGGAGATACGAAGGCAACCTGGAACAGACACAGGTCTGGAGTGTAAGCCAACACAGTCACATAAGGGCTTGAGGCGCTGAGCCCTGGATGTACTGCACACCTCCTCCACCTCAGAGATGATCCTGTTAGTCTCTCAGAAAGAGGAAAATGAATCCTTGACGGGATCAGTGATATTAGCAAGATACTCATCAAGAGCAAAGTAACAAGGTCAAACTTAGGACAAAAAGTACATTTAACTGAATGTTGTGGAATAATTTAGCACAAACCCACCATAACAAATGCTTACGTGCATGCACACATACAGCCTTAAGGAAAAAAG